CTAAATGTATCTCTGGTCAAGCCTGTATACAGCATATTATCCTACTTTATTCAGAACTAAGGATAATCGCAACAGATGCCACAAAAGCCTAGTCATAAAAAATAGGGGAAAAAAGGCAAATGACTTTCATCAAGAACCTTTTATTATTCTACCTTACAATAACTTGGGTGGCCTAATTTTTCAATTTATCTGCCATATGGGTGCTAGGAATTGAACCCAGGTCCTCAGCAAGAGGAGCCAGTGCTCTTGATCACTGAACAATCTCTCCAGCCTCTTAGCATTTTTTATTAAAATTTGGTTTTTTAAAGATATATTATAGCCGGGTGTGGTGACGCACACCTTTAATCCCAGCACTAGGGAGGTAGAGGCAGGCGGATCTCTGTGAGTTCAAGGCCAGTCTGGTCTGCATAGCGAGTTCCAGGTCAGTGGGGCTATAGGAAGACCGTCTGAAAAAGACCAAAAAAAAAAGGATTATTTTTAAAATTACATGTAATTTTAAGTGTCTATGTGTGGGCATAAGCAGGCGTGCAGGTGCCTACGGAATCCAGAAGAAGGCATCAGATCCCCTGATGCTGGAGTTATAGGTAGTTGTGAGCCACCTGCCCTGTATGCAAGGAACCAAATTCGGGTCCTCTGCAACAGTGTGGTGGTTTAAATGAAAATATCCCCCATAGGCTTCAAGCATTTGGGCATTCTGTCCCCAGTTGGTGTTGATGTTCTGGGTGTTTTAAGAGGTGTGACCTTGCTGTAGGAAGTGAGTCACTGGGGGTGGGCTTTGAGAGTTCTTAAGCCTTCCAGATTTCTAGATGCTCTCTCTGCTCCTGCTCTGGCCATCTCACTATGCCTCCCCGCCATGATGGACTCTAATCCCTTTGGAACCCGAAACTATAAGATCAAATAAATTCTTCTTCCTGTAAGTACCCTTGGTCACAATGTTTTATCACAGCAACAGAAAAGCAACTAATACAAATAGTAAGAACTCTTAACAACTAAGCCATCTTTCCAGTTCCCTACAACTATTATTGTATAGATGTATTATGTGTGAGAGGGTGGGTACGTGTGGGCCAGTGGGCACATGTGGAGGTCAAAAGACAACTTTTGTGGAGTTGGCTCATGCCTTCAACCTTCACAGGGGTTCTGGGGACTGAACTCAGGTCATCAGGCTTGTAAGGCCAATGTTTGTTCCCTCTCACTAGCCCAACCTTTCAGATTTTATCTTTCTTTTTTTCTTTTCAGTGTGTGTGTGGTAGGGGGAGGGAAATCTCTGAACTTCTTTGTGCAAATACATGTGAACATGCAAGAACATGTGTACATGTGTGTGGAGGCCAGAGGCATTATTTTAAGTGTCCTCCTCAATCACTTCTCTACCTTATTTAATTCCCTGAACTAGACTAGCTGGCCAACGAGCTTCAGGGGCCTACATCCACCTGTCTCCACCCCACCCCTTAGCACTAGGGTAACTGCCACCACATCCAGCTTTTAGTTGCTCATGAACCAAACCCAGGTCTCCATGCAGGAGGTAATTTACCCACTGAGCAATCTCCCAAGCCCCCAATTTTATTATCAAAGACCTGTATAGACCATGTTTTTATTCTTTGTCTTTTTTTTATAAGAAATGATCACTGAAAAAGAGTGGAAAGAGAGCTGCACTGACTACAAAAAAGGCAGGGGCCCAGAACCTCCACCTACATGCCGGGTGTGGTGGTGCAAGCCTTTAATCCTAGCTCTTGAGAGGCAGAGGCAGGCGGACCACTGTGAGATCGAGGCCAGACTGGTCTACATAGCAAATTACAGGCCAGCTGAGGATACAGGGAGACCCTGTCTCAAAAAGACCAAACCAAACCAGACCAAAACTTATTTGATCTTTTCTTGCTTACAATGAAAGTTCTGCAAGTGTCAACAGAAAACTCTACCGTTCCTATTGTAAAGCAGTAAAAGATTACTGGGATTAGTATCAGAAATCTTTACCACAATAAAGACAAAAGGAAAGGCAAAATGAGAAACTAACCCCTTTTGCAACAACCAATGCTCAACTGATTTAAAGAAGGCTATCAAGGGGCTGGAGAGATTGCTCAGAGGTTAAGAGCACTGGCTGAGCCAGGTTGGATTCCCAGCATCCACATGGGAGCTATCATCTCTTAACTCCAGTTCCAGGGAAAATCTGAGGCCTTCTTCTGACCTCTGTGGGCACTGCACAACATGGGTGCACTTACATACAATACATTCATACACATAAAAAATAAAAACAATAAATACTTAAAAAAAAAAGATTACCAAATGGCTGCTACAATCAAGAAGTGAAAGATGCTGTGACAGCAGGACAGACACACTGTCAAAAAGTATTACCCCATAGGTTTCTATTAATTACAAAGCAGATGAGGTTCCTTTCTAAGACGGAGACAGACATTGCTACTCTAACTAAGAGTTGAGCTTTGGACCTTGACTGTTTCCCCAAAGGCCTATAGTTTAAAGACTTGGTAGCCAACACGGCACTATTGAGGCGTGATGAAATCTTTTTGAGGACAAGCCATGAGAGGTCCTTAGGCCACTTTGGAGACAGTCCCTTTTGCATCCCATTCATGGCTTTGCTGTACTCACACTTTTACAATGATGCAACATCTTTGCTCCTGGCTCATTCCTTCAAAACCATGAGCTGCAACAAACCTTTCTCTTTAGAAGCTGATTATTTCAATTATTTTGTTTCAGTGACTGAAAGTTTCCACAGCAAATGATGAGACTTAGGGGACAGAATCAGTACTAGACACCTGACACTGTATTCTCTGATTAATACAGTAAGAGGTTCTTGCTTAAAATACATACTCTGAGTTTCATCAGGAGGAAAAAAAAAAAAATCAAACAAATGCAAATTATGAGAGCATTCCACAGGGAACTCTTGACTATTAAAAAAAAAAAGGTCAGTACCATTAAAACAAACTAAAAAGGTTAAGAGAATTGTTCTGGATTTAGATAATAAAGACAAATAGCAATCAAAATGAAATACACAAATTTGAGTCTTCAATGAAAAAGTAAAACAGCCAAAAAAATTTAATTTTTTAACATTTATTTGTGTGTTTGCGTGTATACATATGCATGCTATAGTGTGCTGTGCATGCAATAGTGTGTCTGAAGACAACCTGGGGGAGTCAGTTCTCTCCTACCATGTGGGATCTGGGGATGGAATTCATGCCATCAGGCTTGGCAGTTAAGTATCTTTACTTACTGAACCATCTTGCTGGCCCAAGAAAATTTTTTAAATGGGAACCCCTGAAACATGGACTGTCTGTATCAGCTGGTGATATAGGGGTGACACTGATATTAGAAGTATAAATGATGCCGGGTATGGTGGCACACGCCTTTAGTCCCAGCACAGCACTTGGGAGGCAGAGCCAGCCTGGTCTACCTAGTGAGTTCCAGAACAGCTGGGGCTATGGGGAGACCCTGTCTCAAGAAAAAGGCAAAAAAAAAAAAAAAAAAGTTGGGGGGGGGGCTTGCCTTTAATTTAATTCCAGCACAAGGGAGGCAGAGGCAGGAGGATCTCTGTGAGTTCAAGGCCAGCCTGGTCTACATAGTAACCTCCAGTTCCAGGCTGGCTGGGGCTACAGGGAGACCCTGTCTCAAAAAAATAAAATAAAATAAAACAAGTATAGATGATGACCTTATTCTTAAGGGATATATGCGGAAAAACCCAGTGTTACTATGCCTACAGCTTTAAGTAGGGGGGAGGGG